ATGGAGTGGCCAGATGTTAGAAAGATAAGGTTTACTTGGAGCAAGAGCATTTCTAAGCTCTCGTAAGAAATTTCTTCGTCCTGGCTCTTTAGACAATGATGAGGGACATTGGTAGATGAATTGTATGTATTCTGTATTCATGAATAATGATGTGAGGCTTACCGATGGTACTTTGTGGAGAAAAGTTTTTTCTTTTTTTGGACTGATGTCATAACCTCTTGTTACACAGTATATCAAGGGTCGTTAAACGATTAGTATTAGGAACATGTTAATATTAATATGAATATTGAAGAGTTTAGAAAACGTGGATATGAAGCAATAGATAGGATATGCCGTTACTACGGGGAACTTGATTCGGTGAAAGGTTCAACGCTGAACCGTTATATCAAGCATCTTTATTGTTCATATTGTTAATAATTTGAATATGTAGTTCTACCAGAAGTCAAGCCGGGTTATCTGAAGAAACTGCTTCCCAAACATGCGCCCGAAGGTTAGAAATGTAGAACGACGTAATTGTCTGTAAATCAACGTTTAATGATGTAATAATTTCTATTCAACTTGCAGAAGCAGAGCCTTGGGAAGATATACAAGCTGACTTTGAGTCTACTATCTTACCTGGAGGTAATGTAATTCCGATCGCGAACTGCGTTGTTTTGGCCATCATTTTTCACACTCATTTGAATTTTACAAGTCACTCATTGGCAAAGCCCAAACTTCTTTGCATTCTACCCGGCGAATTCTTCATTTCCTGCAATAATTGCTGATATGTTCAGTGATATGATTAATTGTGTGGGATTTAACGTAAGACAAATCGCTAGTTATAATTTTTAGTAGAACCAAATTGATCGTTTTTATATCACTTTCTCCCAGTGGATATGCTCGCCTGCTTGCACAGAATTAGAAACAATCGTTCTTGATTGGGTCAGCAGATTAATAGGGCTGGATGATGGATATCTAAGTGATGGAGAAGGTGGTGGAGTTATTCAGGGAACAGCCAGTGAAGCCGTTTTAGTAGTCATGCTTGCTGCTAGGCAGCGTGTAATTGACGAATATAAAAAAAGAGGCTACACAGAAGAAGACATAGTAACGAAGTTAATCGCTTATGGATCAGATCAAGTAAATGAAACAGTCTAACGGCAATAATAGTTCATGCATACAATTTATTATTTATTCCCAAATTTACCAACTTAGGCTCATTCAGCCGTTGAGAAAGCATCGATGATTGTCAACTGCAAATTCAAAGCTTTACCAAGCGATGATGAGTTCTGCCTCAGAGGATCGTCTGTTCGCTCGATGATGGAAAAGGATATCGAGGAAGGCCTAATACCTTTCTTCATCACAGCAACAATAGGAACAACAAGCTCAGCTGCAACTGACTATATTGATGAAATAGCCTGTACATGTAAGTAACAGCTACTTGCACTTTCCAGTTGTCCGTAATATATTTTCCTATCTTCATTCGATCAACAAACGTGACCGTTGTTTGCAGTGGAAGGTACAAGTGTATGGCTCCATATAGATGCCGCATATGCAGGTGCTGCATTGATTTGTCCAGAGTATCAGTACTTACTCAAAGGGGTCGACAGATCTCAATCGTTTAATATCAATATGCACAAATGGCTGCTAACAAATTTTGATTGCTCGTGCCTATGGTATGGCTGACAGTGAAACATTAATCTCTTTGTGAATAAACGGTTTCGTTTTCCCATTTTCTAAACATTTAACTAACACTTAGGGTAAGAAAGAGATCACATTTATTGAATGCATTATCGTTGACACCAGCATTTCTCAGGAATACTGCTAGTGACAGTGGACTGGTGATCGATTACAGAGATTGGCAAATACCACTTGGCAGACGATTCAGGTCATTGAAGATCTGGTTTGTATTAAGAGCTTTTGGTGCAAACGGTCTGCGAGAACACATTCGTAAGGTTTTAAACTTTATTAGTGCATATAAATATCTTTACATTTTACGGCGACGCATGACCTGCTAAAACATTCTATGCAACTCGATTGTTAGTCTGTCAAGTTAGCACGAAGATTTGAGGAGGAACTCTCTAAATATCCTAACTACTTTGCTGTAACCACCAAACCGGCATTTTCGCTCGTGTGTTTCCACCTCAAACCTCAGAAGAAGACTAACATGACGTCTAACGAGTTAACAGCTGCCCTATACAACGGCATAAATAACTCGCGTGAACTCTATGTTACACAGACAAAATTGGGTTCTCAAACCGTCATCAGATTCGTTGTCGGGAGCCCCTGGACGGCTGAACGACATGTTGTAGATGCTGTTAAAAAAATAGTTGATTTTACAGAAGCAATTATCAAAGATGTCGAGTTGACTATTGAATAACGGTATTACCAAGGGGCTATCGATCAAGAGTAACATATTTAATGGCAGAGCCAATTCAGTCATATACAACGTGTTGGGCAATTATTTTGGTTCTTCTTCGTAAAAAATTTACCCTTTACTAACATACGAGTTGATTTCATCAAAGTGGGATATTTCCATGTTTCTTTGGAGGATTCTTGAGATTTTTGCTCTTGAGCACCTCGAGATCGTCGATAATCCGTCGTCTTGTGTGAGCAGGAAGCACTACAAATAAACGATGAGAAATTATACTCAACAAGAAGTGAAACCGGAATAAATTCTCTCTGGTTTTAGAACAATATTCTGAACTAACCGATATCGTCAACGAAGCCTCGTTGAGCTGCCGGTAGGGGATTAGCAAATTTGTCTATATATTCTGCTTCTGCTTTACTACGATCCTCAGAATGGCGGAATATAATCGCAACAGCACCCTTCAATTAAACAGATAAATTAGTATGCAGCAATGAACGAGATACGACGTAAAGTTAAATACCTTAGCGCCCATTACGGCAATTTCACCAGCTGGCCAAGCATAATTCATCTACAAATATAATTTCGTATTTTAAATGATATGACAGATTGAAAACGCCATGCGATCTAAAACATACGTCTCCGCGAAGATGTTTACTTGACATGACATCATAGGCTCCACCGTACGCCTTCCTGGTAATTATAGTAATCTTTGGAACGGTGGCCTAGCAATAGAGAATCACATAAATCACGTAATCACAAGCTTATGATCTTCAAAGTAAAAATATCCGCTACCTCAGCGTATGCATATAGTAACTTTGCTCCATGTCGAATAATGCCGTTATGCTCTTGTGCTGTTCCCGGCAAGAAGCCAGGTACGTCCACAAGGGTGATAATTGGAATGTTAAAAGCATCGCAGAATCTGACAAACCTAGCACCTTTGATCGATGAATTAATGTCTAAAACACCGGATGAAACCAATGGCTGGTTCCCAACAATCGAAACTGTCTTTCCATTCATTCTTGCAAACCCAATAACGATATTCTTTGCGTAATCCGGCATTATCTCAAAGAAGTTACCATCATCAACAAGACGGGTAATTACATCACGAACATCGTAGGCTTTAGTGGAATCCACAGGAATGATATGGTTCAAAGAGTGATCTTCGCGATGTGGTGAATCATCACTGTAACGTGTTGGCGCCGGCTCAAGATTAGAAAGAGGAAGGAAATCGAGGAAATCTCTAACACTAAATATCACGAAGGTAGTTCGTAAGAATCATATAGAACAAATAAAGAATAACCAACTAGACCTTTTACCGTTGGAGAGCTTCCAGGTCGTTCTCAAATGCATTGTGTACAACGCCTAATAAAACGCAAACTTCACTTCACACGAACATGGAAAACGTGTCCGATCGTTTATTGTATAGTCATATCTTACCGGACATGACTGTATGTGTTTTAGCACCACCAAGCTCCTCTTGTGTAACTTCTTCATTACAAACTTCTTTCACGACATCCGGTCCCGTAACAAACATATACGATGTGTCTTTCACCATAAACGTGAAATCTGTCAGTGCAGGCGAATAAACAGCGCCACCTATTGAAGATTAAACGGGCCAGTGAGTACCACAAGCCATAAAACTTTCTCACGTTGTAATTTTAATACCTGCACATGGCCCCATGATCAACGAAATCTGCGGAATAACACCGGAGGAAAGAACATTCCTCTCGAAAATCTCCGCATATCCTGCTAACGAATCCACACCCTCTTGAATCCGAGCACCACCAGAATCATTCAAACCAATGACGGGGGCGCCAACTAAGACGGCTTTATCCATTATCTTGCAGATTTTTTGTGCATGCATCTTAGACAAACTACCACCGAAGGCCGTGAAATCTTGGGAAAAGACAAATACACGGCGCCCATTGATGGTACCATGTCCGGTAACAACACCGTCACCAGTGACCTTTATAGAGGGGTCAAATAGAGAAATTTAATAGTCTATACATAGATTTTCTCATTATCCACCATGATTTTGAGCAAATAAAGAAACTACTAGAACACGTAAAAAGTTGCCACTAATTATTCTGTATGTACTTTGATGGCAATGGTAATTGGGATGTAGACAAATGTTGACTACTTGACTAAGATATTATTAATTATTAAGTATTCGTACAAAACGCTACCTTATTTTTATCCATGCCAAAATCAACGCATTGATGCTCAACAAATGTATCATATTCCACAAAAGACCCTGCATCTAGTAGGAGGTCAATGCGTTCTCTAGCCGTGAGTTTACCCTGAATACAACTGGTAATCAGACCACGGATATGCTATGATTTTTCAATACACCCGATTAGGCCTTACTTTCTTATGTTGAGCCTCTATTCTTGCTAAGCCGCCACCCAGTTGGGCTTCCGCTCTCTTGCCTTCGATACGCGCTATTACATCCTTTACGATATGAGAATATTGAGTATCAATTCGCGAATATTCATTTACCGGTTTCCCTCTTTAGCTTCAGTATATTCATATGGTAATTACCTCTTCCTTAGTCCGTCCTGATGCGTATCTGACGTGAGCTGAGCCCAGAGACGAAAGCAAAATTTTTGTGAGGGGCTTATATTCGTTAACTGTTCTAGAAACATACGCTGGTAATGGGGACAAGTTCTGAATAGGGCCTCTAAGAGTACGCGTTAACGTAAATGCACTCAATCGATACATTCCAAGAAAATCTTGTTAATCCCAAATGTTTCTAAAATATCAGGGATTTTATGTCAAACATGATATATCAAAGATATGCATCACCTCATTTTCCTTTTGTAGTGTCAATATGCACATTCATGCCATCATCCATCGCCTGACTTTTGTGCAATAAGATCTAGCCAACCGTTGGATATCGTATGATCGCCTGTTCGCGATCAGGCAAAAAGTACATAACGTCATTATCCTCCAAAGTATTTCCACACATTCCAGCGTGTCACCGGCAAGTCAAAAATTCATGACGATACCTCAAATCATATCTTCTAGTTACTTTGGTGTTCGTCAGACAACAAATAGACTGGCTGTTCTTCAGAAGAATGCTTTAATTCGCACTTTAATCTATAGCTCAGCAAGGGCATACCATTCATCATTCGCGTCGCAATATGCTCAAGTAAAAGAAAACAATAATCTTGAATATGGAAAGGAAAGTGATATAAAGCAATCATCGATTATAACGCTTGTTGTGTGTTAAAGCATATAGCATAATTCACTTCGTCGCCTAAAGTAAAAACATAGTTTATTCAATGATCAATTGAAGAACGCCTTTGTATTCATTTCCATCAGTATTAAAACGAGGACGAAATTTCTTTATTGATCGTTTCGAATCCTTGTACAGACGTTTGATAAAATCCTCGTCGCCAATCGTGGTGAAATTGCTTGTCGCATCATTCGGACAGCGAAGAAGATGGGTATAAAAACCGTGGCTATCCATTCGGATGCAGATGCACGTAGTTTACATGTGCGGATGGCAGATGAAGCCGTAAATGTGGTATGTGGTGGTGTGAAAATTAGGGATTTCGTGTAATGACACAACAATTACTAACCGGTCTCCATCGTAATATATATATATATTAAATTTTTAATTAGGGGCCGGCGCCATCAGCTCAGAGCTACCTTAATGTCCCAGCAATTCTAGATGCAATCAAAAGTTCTGGTGCTCAAGCAGTACATCCAGGTCTGCTATTTCCATTTCCGAGTTAGATTTAATCATTTTCTTTTTGCTTTTGCATCACCCAAATTAACGTCTATTGCGTACCGTAGGTTATGGGTTCTTGTCCGAAAATGCTGCTTTTGCCGAAGCATTAGAAAAGGCGGGAGTTGTTTTCATTGGGCCTGGACGAGCAGCTATGGCTGCGATGGGCGACAAGATTGAAAGTAAGATTATAGCCAAGAAAGCCGGCGTCAACACGATCCCGGGTTACGACGGGGCGATAAGCGGAGTGGATCATGCCTTAGAAATCGGTAATGTCGGTGATGCTATTAAAGTACCTTATGTCCTGTCATGCTTATTAATACTTTACTATACATCAACAGCAAACTCTATCGGATATCCAATAATGTTAAAGGCATCAGCGGGTGGAGGTGGTAAAGGGATGCGTATTGCATGGTAAGATCCTAATTCTTTATTACCATTGGCATGAACCTTTCTTTTTTTCGTAATGTCAACCCAATTCTAAATGATAGGAAAGATTCTGAAGTTGCTGAGGGATTTAAACTGGCAACACAAGAATCAAAAGCTAGTTTTGGTGACGACAGATTATTAGTCGAAAAATACATTGACAATCCGCGTCACATCGAAATCCAAATACTAGCCGATAAACATGGAAATACATTTTATTTTCCTGAACGCGAATGCTCAATACAGCGTAGAAATCAAAAAGTTAGTAGTTAGTTGAAAAACTCTTCCCATATCCATAAATATTGACTCACATAGCTCCCCTGTGAAGGTCATTGAAGAAGCTCCCAGCGTCCACTTAGATGAAAAGACTCGCCGCGCAATGGGTGAACAGGCTGTTTCTCTGGCCAAGAATGTCGGTTACTCTTCTGCAGGCACCGTGGAATTCTTAGTCGATCCTCAGCGTAATTTTTATTTCTTGGAAATGAACACGCGTCTCCAAGTTGAGCATCCAATTACCGAATTTATCACAGGATTTGATCTTGTTGAACAGATGATTCGTATTGCTGCTGGGCAAAAGTTACCTTTTGTACAGGAAGACATCAAGTTTAATGGATGGGCATTTGAATCACGTGTATATGCGGAAGATCCAGAAAAATATTTACCATCTATCGGACGGTTGAGCAGATATATCGAACCTACTAGCCTAACTGATAAGCATGAAGTTAGATGCGATTCTGGCGTTGTGGAGGGGAGTGAGATCAGTATATATTATGATCCACTTATTTGTAAATTGTCGACTTATGGGGAAACAAGAGATGACGCAATACAAATAATGAAGAGGGCTTTGGATTCTTATGTTATAAAAGGTCAATAAGTATTTAATTCTTGAACGAGTGGAATTGTCTACCGCTTATAATTCATAATATCTATTATATTCGTAGGGGTGACGCATAATATACCGCTGTTACGAGAGGTCTTTGGCAGTAAACGATTCCAGTCGGGCAATATCTCGACCAAGTTCCTTGCCGAAGAATATCCTGGTGGGTTTAAAGGCCATATACTCGATAAGGAGTCCCTATTCCAATTGGCATGTGTTGCCGCTTTGGTTCATGCGAAACGAGATGTTCGTAATTGGTGCTGGGGAGAAGGTCAGGAAGCTTTATTAAAGGGAGACCTAGCCGGAGTGGTTCCTAAGCGTTGGGATCTTCATGTGAAGATAAATAATAGTCAGGGTGGATTAGAAATTGTCCATGTTGAAGTTGAGAGGAAAAGCCAAAGCTTGCAAGGCACTGCTGTATTTCAGGTATAACAGAATATCCGATATAAAGTGTTTAACTAAGCAATGCCCATGACTGAAATTCCTTTTGATTTTAGATCAAGACGCCGAGTCATCCAGTAACTATCATTAGATCTGATTGGCCCCTGGAATCTCCGTTGATCGAGGCGCACTTCCATTCTGATGATCGCGAGGAGAAGACAATTATTGTTCAATATGTCGATCCTTTACCACTTGGATTCCGATTGCAAAGACATGGAACTAAGTTTGATATTACGATACACACCGCACGACAGCATGAACTTAGCAAATATATGATAGAGAAGCCAAAGAAGGATTTGTCTAACTTGATTCAAAGTCCCATGCCTGGCAGTGTAGTGAGCATTTCCGTAAATGTCGGAGACATGGTAGGAATACATAATCTTGTGCGCGCATGTATGTGATATACTGACATACTTATGTTGAATGTTCTATTATAATATGGCGTAGGTTTCCGAGGGTGCAGAGGTAGCAATTATCGAGGCAATGAAGATGCAAAATGTATTACATGCAACGCGTGCTGGTAAAGTGAAGGAAATTAAAGGGAAACCAGGTAGCGCGGTGGCAGCAGAAGAAGTATTAATAGTGTTCGAAGATGAGCATGCAGAGTAGCAATCTATGTATGGGGAATGTTAAGTATGATTTATATACACAAACACATGTAATATTACGACAATCTAGGGGTAAGAAGATCACGGTTCTTGATATCTTTTGACTTGTTCAATAGATCGAAAATTCTTTTCTTTTAATATTAAAAGAAGATGACAGTAAGAAATCAGGAAATATACGGAACTTTTCTCTTTAAAAGAAAAGAAATAAAGAAATATTGGGACCAAAACTATAGTTTAATCATGTTACTACAACTAAGAATTCCGAGTTCGCCGGCAATCACTTACCAAAAAGACAACGTGAAATTATTGCTTGACCTTTCCTTCACAATGTTATAGAGTAAACATGAATTTCCTGGATTCAATCTCTAACAAACCACTTGGATTATTACCATTGTTTTGTCAGTTCAAAATGCATTTCTATGACTTAATCTTCTTTTTAGGTGCTATCTAATTGATAGTAGTAATCAACTTGAATTAGATGAACAACCGCATTTTACAATGGGTATAATACAAACCAAGAGTATCGGTCGAACTCATCTGTGCCGACCCAAAAAATCTGTTGTTCAGAAAGTGATATTTCGAGAGAACTAACTGAAAGTTCGAAGAAAAGACATGTTTTTAATGGTCAATGATTTGATGGAATGACAAGTATACTGGAGTGTAATTGTACTAGTACTACAAATGAACAAGCGTCAAAGAAACTGTGCGCCAATTCCCAACATATTGAGATACGTTCTTACTGTAATTTTATAATATGATAAAGTTTTCTTATTATAGTAATACACGTTTTTTTAAGACGTTAGCTTAGAGTATTACTCCACCAGGTAATTTTCTTTATTCGTCTCTTGTATTTTCATAAACACATGCTCATTTTTCACTCTTCTCTCACCCCTTAAGAGTAATACTCTTCACTCTTCTATCATTATTATACCCGTTTACAGTGAGAATTATATATATAATGTATAAATAAATGTTATACATTTGTATTGTTGTTTTCGGATAATTAAACATTCTATATTTTTGACGTCAAAAACAGTTCGGAAGTTGGAAAGGCCGCTTACCTACGATAGAGCAGAGAGCTATGGGCAAAACTTCCAGATGGAGCCTCTATAATCATCGGGGACTAACGATTATAAGACACTTCCGCAATTTTATATTATCACGCAAAATGTAAGAAGACTTATTGGATAAAAAGTTTCCGCCATATGCATCAAAGTTCTTAATTGTTTAGACTCACCAACATGTTTTCCGAATGTACATAGCATAGTCAATTAACTTCAGAACGATGCTTATTTGCCGAAATGCGAATGCTGGATAAAATTTTTGATACAAACAATAACGTTTATTATTAGAAATTCGATTAAACGGAATAAGCAAAAGCTCAGTTCAAACTCATACAAAAACCGAAAAGCTTGATGTTTGTTTAATACACGTTAACGGGTTCAACTCAACATTCGTAATAGCTTTTCAATTTATTAGTCAGTGGACGAACTGAATCAGAGAAACGAACATAATTGCCAGTCTTTATTTGGAAATGAACGGTTTAATGAAAAGAAAGGGAAACCGCGCTATATAAAAAATGGCATATGTTAAGAAACGAAATATTGTTACCAAATCATTGCGAAGTCAAAAAGTC